AGGCCATTCTATAATTTGCAAAAAACGTACAGGTGACTAAAGCCTATTTTAGTGACTTTACTTCATGGAAATACCTATGAATAAATATTCACATACTCATTTGTTTGCAGTCCATGTCATTTTTCCTTTGATATAATCTAAAGCTTTATAATTTTAGAATCATAAAACATTTTGCAGATAGTTTCATTGGAGCAGGTTAACTGAAGAGAAGTATAATTTTTTGGGCCAAAAATGTAGTGTTTTTCATGAGTGGATATTAATTAATTCTCTAATATGACAGACTTTACATGCCAATGAAAGCCTTTTCTGAAAATGTTAAAATAGAGTTTAACATTTTAAATGTTAAAATAGAGTTTAACTTAATATAGTGCTAATAGGGAAACTTTAAGTGTTAAACAGAATTTAGTAACAACATCAGACATTCAAGAAAAAATACAGAAGCAGTTTCTTCTACTTAATCTCAGGATGTTTCTGCAAGTGTTTAGAGGCACTTCTGCTGTGGACACCTTCTGCTCTTACCCTCACCCCCATTTTTGGCAGCAAGACATGAGAATGGTATTCACTGGTTTATTCTTGTGATATAGTGAAAACCAGCTGTCAGCTTTCTAAGTTTGGCATGCAGAACAAGTACTAATATTCTGGGATGCTGTGGTATGACAGTGGCATTCAGCTGGTTCTGACAGGGCAGCAGTAGCATGGCTTCCAGGGGGACACATTTGTCAGAGGCTCATGCAGCTGTTCCCCATGTGACTTGACCATAACTGCCTCGTACAACAGCGTGACCTCTGCTCACTGAGACTGTAGATTTGAGAGTGTTGTTTGCCTACAGATTCCTTCTTGAAACAGGAGGGGACTGGAGAAAATGGTAGGAGTAGGCTGTGGTTTACTTAGCTGTTTTAATGGGCTGTGTATTGCCATGACCCAAAGGCTGAATATCACTATTTTTCAGTAACTGCAAAACTGCAAAAAAGAGGGGCAAGAGCCAACCTGCAAGGAGCTGGGGAGTGGAGAGAGGGCACTTCGCTCCACAATAGAGATATGTGGTGCTTTGTGTGTGGTTAACTATGCTTTTTCACTGGAATGAAAGCATATTGGTGGAAGCAGGCCTGCTGCAGAGGCATTTTCCTAGGCAGGACAAAAATTTGTCAGAGAAGACTCAGCTGGTGATGTGATTACCACTAAGAAAACCCACCTTAATTTTAATCTACATCTGTGAGATCTCACTGCTTACCATATGCAGAGTTTAAGACTTTTTGCAATAATAACTCAGGTTTGTGACTCCCACTGATGTGCGAATGCTCTCTGAACATTAACAATCTGTATCTGTCTGTCATGAAAGCAAGTGCCTTTCCTCCTGCCATATGTAATTACAGAGGTTACATCCTTTCCAAGGAGTCCAAGTGTGTGTATGTGTGTGAGCTGAAATTAAAACAAGCCTGAGTTTGATAACTCTGTTGATAATATTAGGTCTTGGCTGTGTTAAGATCAGATTATGAAAAGATCAGAAAACAGCTGTTCCTCTGTGGGAGAGATCATCTGATGGTCGTGGGCTAGCCTGGGACATCTGCTCCCACTAGGTTTTCTGTTTAATCTCTGCCTGGTCACTTTATCTCTTTCACTTCATTTGAACTAGAACATCTTAAGTACTCATCACCTTTTCAAGCTCATAATTGGGAGTTTACCCTGGACCCCCCAGTAAGGTGGGGGGGTCCAGGGTAAACTCCTTTTACTGTCTTTTTCTGCCACACTCTGGTGTTCTTGGAAATGAAACTGTGGTGTGGGATATGATAAGAAACACAAGACCCATAACCAGGTCCTTTGTGCAGTGATGCAGCTGAGGGGGCAGGACCTCAGGAAATGTATCTCCACTATTTTTTATGCTTCTGCTTGTGATCTGTAAAACAGGGGTAACAGTACTACCAGTTCCAAAGACTGCATTATGACAAGGAAAAGACAGTAAGGATAGCTTGGCTTCATAGATCAATGATGACAGTAATTTTTGGTTGGTTGGTTCTGACCAACAAGCTGAGAGAAATAAGACTGTAACACAAGAGTATTTGTATTCCTCAAGCCTAACAATGGAGACATACAGAAGGCTATAAGAAAGGTAGAAGCATATATAACACCTCCCTGTTCTTCTATCCCATATCAGTTTACAGCTTGGGGATGTTCTGATATAGAGGTGTTTTCTAGGAGGACTTGGTGACTTTTTTTTTCTGTGCTTTTACCCGGTTTTGGAACCCATGGATACTGAAGACTTGATGATACACTGGGTAGTTCAAGTTCAAGAGCAAATAAGCTTCTGATTGCAGCAGTCAAGGAATTAGTGTAGACCCCCACCAGTGTTCCCAGTAGTTTCTACCAGCTCCACACAACGTTAAAAAGAGCTTTGGTCTCTATTCAGCAAGATCAGCAAAGTGAGACAAAGCAAGCATCTGGGAACTGTTACACGGGAAACTCCCCACATTCATGATATGCTACATGATACCCCACTAATATTTGAGTGGTCTTATAGGAGGAGAATAATCCATTATTACTACTTCAGCCTGGATTCACCAAAATAGAGGTAGCTCTCCTGATGTGGCTGCAGGATAACCTGACCCATTCTTTTTTAATGTTTCACACCTGCCATGTGAAGTAGCTCACAACAAACCAGTGCAGGAATGCAGTGTTTCTGGGGTACTGTTTTCGTAATGTAAGTTGGGGGAATCTTTAATTCAGCATGGGTTTTATAACTGTTCGCTGCAGATAGGGCAATTTCCTTTGCAGATTGAGGAAAGGTGCTGTAACATAAATGACTGACTGGGTGTCACTGCTGTGTTGTGACAGGCTATCCTCTAAGAAGAAGTGATTGATGACATTTATAAAACTGAGCCATTATATGTGCTGTTTATATTGAAATAGAACTGTGGATGTGGGTTGTCAGTTCAAAGCAATCATTACTTACACAGTTCTATAACAAGTGGTGGTGGGTGCAGTGAACAAAATACCAGAATAAATGTTTGTTTTGGAGCTTTGAACAGGGCTGTCTTTTTTTTTCAGCCTACATCTAGCCACACTAAAAGGATCTATTATGTACACTGCCTAGAGCATGAGGCTTCACTGTAGGCTTTGAAGAGCTCTTTGATACTGACATCAGTATTAAAATGAGTTTCTGAATCAGGCAGGTGACCTTTCTTGCTCCCCTGGAGCACAGCTCAAGCAAACCTCAGTCCTTTGTAGCAGCATTTTCTCCTGCCTGCAGAAGCCCCCAAAGGCCTCAGTTGCAGATGCTCACTTCTCTGTGCTTTGCAGAGTATTTGAGAAACCCCTCTCAGTGGGTGAGTGGTGTGGATGCAGGATGCCTCTCTCTGAAGACACAGGGCCTGATCATGAGGGTTATAAGCTCAGTCCTGCTTCTGTCCTGCTGGGAAGTCCTGGGGCAAGTCATTCCCTGTGCCTCTCTCTGCAGATGTGGTATGGAGATGATGGGGTGAACTTTCCTGAGAGGCACTCTGTAGATTGGTGGAAGGAGAAGCTGCCCAGCTCTGCACCAGTGTTTCTGCACCACATGGAACACTGCAGGTGGGGTAGGGAAGAAGAGTCTGCCTTCCTTTCCCTGCTGCCCTCTCCCCTGCTAATAGGCTTGCACGTAGCACATCCATGGCTTTGTGTGTCTAAACAGTGTGCAAAGTCATGGGTGTGCTACACAGCCTGACATAAGCTTGACCTGATTGGCAGAGAGGCAATGGGAACTTCACCTGGTCTCATATCACTTTGTGTGTGTATCTCGGGTGGGAGACACCTGGTGAGGGTTGCTCTGGCACTGCTAAAAGGATGGCAGAATGTATGGGTTTTGCAATGAGACCAAATAGAAAAGAGCTTGGAGTTTTTCCCCTCTTCTGCTTGTTAAGTGGAAGAGAGACAAAAGTGTTCTACATACAATTCCAGAAAATATTTAAATAATTGAATTTTTCCTTCTTTGCATTTGTTTTTAATTTTCTAAAACCATTAAGATTTATCACATTCAGAATTCCACCTGTATGCTTTGAGCTCCGTTCTTGTTCAAACCGACAGTTTGCACATGCCAAGAAAACCGTCCTTAAAAATATCCATAGCTTTAAAGCTTTTCCTTTTTATGCTTCTCTTATGATCAGCCAGAAAATCAGCTGTCAGTAACAGCTATCATAGTGGTAGCATCTGAATATTGTGTTTTGATATGTTGTTGATTGTAAGGATCTATGAGGATAGCCTGTTAAATATAAAATTGTTCCTAGAATTTGATTTTTCTGCAAAATGAAAAGACAATTGTACTTGTTCTGTCAAGATACAGTTTGATGACATAGAGAGGCTGTGTAATAATGGGTTTTTTCCATGTTTTCTGATGTGAACATATTGACTATATTTTCTTTATTCTTGTACATTTGTAAATTGCACATTGTTCTGTAGTAATTTTACCTGCCATTTCTCTTGGATGTGCTGCCTTATTTTGTACTGTTCATTCTGGCTATATTTATTTCACTCTTTAAAAATGTGTCTGATTAAAGATAAGTATTACCGTCATAAATATGATGCTTTAGCTCTTTTTTGTTTTTTCCTAGGGAAAAAGCATGTAACCAGTACAACCTCTCATTTCACAAATGAAACAATTCAAAGTGGGCTTATTCCTGAGTCTGGGCCTTGCACACAACATTGGGATCCATGGAAAATCCTTCCACTTTGCCTTAGTTGGAAAAAGCCTATTGCCTTTAATCTCAGTGCTTTTCATAAATGTCCATGCACAAAACTGTGTCCCAGTGTCATGAGGAGCTCACTTAGTTTTGTGTCATATAGTATGTCATTTGTTAAACTGAAGTTGGCTTTTCAGTCATGTGACAGGTATGTAAAGATGCTTACCAGTGCTCTTTGTGAATTTGATTTTGAGTTCTTTCCTTTTTGAGGAAATTTGTTTTAGGGAAAAGCGCATCACATAAACTCACTGCTTCTACTTTCTCTTTTCTGTCCCATTCTTCCTCTTCCAGACCAGGATGAGAGAGCAGCAGAGCTCAGCAGGGAGCAGAATGAGAAGACCATTCGCAGCACACAGACTGCTCTCCGCAATTTCCGAGAATTCCTCATTTCCAAGTACCCCTCTGAGACCCGTGAGATCTATGTCATCCCCTGCAAAGAGCTTGATGCCTATCTTGCATCCTTCTTTGTGGATGCCAGACAAAAGGATGGGTCTGAATATGAGCCAAACAGTCTGGCCAACTATCAGTGTGGACTGGAGCGGTATCTCAAAGAGCACAGGTATGGATACAGTATTACAAGGGATAAGGAGTTCAAGAGGTCCCAGGAAGCTCTAAAGCAAAAGCAGATAGAGCTGAGGTGTAAAGGCAAAGGAAACAAGCCACACAAATCCATGAAGCTTACCTTTGCTGATGAGCTTATCCTGCGCAAAAGAGGCTTATTGAGCAGGTACAATCCTGAAGGGCTTCTGAACCTAGTGTGGCTGAACAACACTAAGGCGTTTGGACACTGCACAGGTTTCCACGGGTCCACCCTCAAGTGGGGAGACATCCGACTGCGAGTGACAGAGACTGGGTTGGAGTACCTGGAGTGGATGGGGCCAGACAACGGGGATGTGAGTGCCAAGAGCAAGAGAGGCGGGACGGACTCGCGGGTGTACGCCACCCAGCACTCCCCGCAGACCTGCCCCGTGCAGGACTACAAGGAGTACGCCCAGCGGCGCCCTCCGGCCATGCGCTACGAGGATGCGCCTTTTTACCTGTCCATCAAACCCGTTGTCAACTTGGCTGCACTTCACTGGTACAACTGCCAAGCCCTGGGGAAAAACAAGCTTGCCAAGATGGTGAAGACAATGTGTGAGAAAGGGAACATCCCTGGCCGCAAGACCAACTTCAGTGTCTACCAGAGCTGCAGCACCCTCTCAGAAGCTCAGAGCAACCAGCTGGTGCTGATCTGCAATAACTTGAGCCAGCAGGCTGCCCAGTCCATGGCAAGTCACTCCAATACTGGCAACTTCATAGTGTCAGCATCCTATGACTCGTCATCTGACACTGCTTGAAAGAACACCAAACACTTTTCTCTTTTCCTTTTTGTTTCAGGCATTGAATTTGTGCTCAATAATACACATCAGCTGTGATTGTACACTATTCCCCCTCTCAGCCCTCTCTCCAGTGTTAATTCACTTTATAAGAATATATGAACATATAATATATTTTTCTTTCTACAAATAAGTCAACAGAAATAGTTTAGTATTACTAACAGTATTTATAGCGTTAATGCAAAAATGAAAGGTACTTATGGGTTATAATACAAATGCAGATTTTAAAAGGATAGAAATGGTTCTCAGGCAACACAAGATAGACTGAAAATACCATTTTTAACATGCACACATTAATGAGTGTAAATCCCCAGGGAGGCTTACATAGCAATTCTGTTCTAAAGCATTTTTTCAACTTAGTATTGTAACATGACCTCCCACAGTGGAGGAGACAAACTTAACATTGGCTGCTGCTTCTTACCTGCTAGCTTATTCTTGATCAGCAAGACCAAGAAATAAGAAATGCATCAATGTAAGCTCACAAAACCATTTACAGCATTTTTGTCTGTTTTTATTATGTTTCCTGAGGCTCATTTACACTACAAAAATCCTGAAGTCAGCTAAATGCCATTTTAAACTTTTGGGTATGTCGACTTTCTAGGATCAAAATGTTGCTGGTGTTTAGGCTAAAAAGCACTCTTTTCAACAATATGCAAAAGTATAATGGCAAAACCATTGTCACACATAATTTCACCTCTTTAAGTATAGGTTGTTAGTATTTTATCAATGTGTGTATGTAATGTAAAATCTGTTGACATAGAGCACTCTTTCAGTATTCTGGGAAAACGAACAGTACAGAAAAATCTGCAGTCTTATCCCAGCTGTACAGAAAAATGACATCAACTATGTCTTAAGCCATCATTTGAAATCCACAAAACAATAGAGAGTGTAATGATATTTCTACAGAAATTTTTAAAGAAATTATACAGAGAGGTAAAAAGCTGGATAGTTTTAAGTGCTGGAATACCAATTTAACTTAGCTATACATCATCTGTTTCCATTGCAGACAATGGAAAATGTGCGTGTGAATCTGAAGGTAGAATTTGGACCTTAAAGCCTTGAAATAACAAGTTCTACTGTTCTACTTTTTAATGTAGTTTTTCTACTACAAGTATGGGAAAAACACTAACAAATCCACTATTTCAGTGAACAATTATAATTCTTGACACTTAAAATTAGGAACAATACTTTTCAAGTAAATAAACTTAGTGTAAGTTCCTCAAGGATGTGCTAGGGCTGTGGTGAGGCTTTAGAAAAGTCTGCTGGGGTAATTGAGCTCCTGCTGAAGTCAATGAAAGACAACGGGGTAATTGAGCTCCTGCTGAAGTCAATGAAAGACAACGTTGGCTGACTTCTGCTGGGTATTATTCTGACTGGACCAAACAGCCTTTGGAGAGGCTTTCTTGTTTAGCAGTTTTTAATTGTTGTGTTTCTTTATGCTTGTTTGTCTGTATTTCTTCACATTCCTGCATATCCTTCAAATTCTTTAGATCTGCAACTGTGCAATGACTTTAATCATCACTAATTCCAAAGAAGAGATGAAAGAAAGGTAGCAAATAGAAATAGAAGTAACTCACCTAGCACCTATAAACTTTTTTTCCTGTGTTCCTAGGATGACATGTTCCTGTGTGAGAAGGAGGTGGCAGAGTGTCTGCACCTCACTTAAGCCTTACTGAAGGTATGTTTTGGGGATGAAATAGGTAGCAGATGTGGCACTGAAAAGCCTAAGGGCAGAGATTTCTACTATAATAAATATCTGTCCTCCCAGGAAGCTTTATGCAGGGGACACAACCTGGCTGTGATCTCTTTTTTTTTCCACATGTAGCAAGGCTGGTAAAAGGTCTGGTTTCCTGTGTCTGACACTCCATGGTAGTGTAGCCACCAGTTCTACAGTCTTCCATTTACCATCCGCTGTCTCTCAGGGTAGGCAGTGGATTGGTGGGTGCAAGCAGTTGTTCATATTATAGAGCCCTCCTTTTGTAACTTGGCTTTGGCACTTGAGGCCAAATTATAACTCTGCTGAAGTGATTGCAAGCTGTGTCTGTGACTTTCAGTACCATGGCATATCTGACTTGTTGGTGGAGAAGACAGAAGCACAGAGAGATTTCAGGTGAAGGCAGAAAGACAGCTGCCCAGTTTCTAGATGAGGCCAGATATCTGATTGCTGTTTGTACTGCCTTGCCTTTTCACAGCAGTGCTTTTAGTATGATACAGTGAAAAGTAGTTTTGCAAGACCACTCTTGCTCTGGGATTTCTTTACTGTTTTCCACCGAGGACTCGCACAGTGGTGCTTAGTATGTGCTGGAGCGTGAGCATTCCGTGCCAAGGACCTCTCTCAAAGTGCCCGATGAGAGCTCAGCCTTGGAGCTGACCTCTAGGGAAGTCTGGTTTCTCTTTCTCCCCACTGGTACTCATCTCAACACTTCCCCGTGACAGCTATTGCAGTATCTGACATAGTTCCCTACATTTCCTTTGCTGTTCTGCAGTGAGGGGATGGGTATCAGCTGGCCTTTGTGGGGCAGCAGATCTCTGTTTCCCACCTCTCCTCCTCTGGCCAGCCCACCCCTTTGCTCTGAGGAGGCCAGTCACTGATAGTACATGTGCTGTGCTGCAAGCAGCATTTTGAAGTGTTGCTTCACATCAGTGCTGTAATTCAGCCTCAACACAGATCTCAGAAGAAAGAAGACTGGCACTCCTGGATTTTGAACTGAGAGGCCAAAAGAAGTATTTCCCATGACTTTTTGACTCTATATGCTGCCTAAATTATTGATTACCACAGTATTAGGATGGTTTGTGCTGATGTCCAACATCAGTGAGGCAGCATTTCTGGTGCCCTTGACTTAGTGGGGCACATGAGCAACCTTTGCTTGTCTGGTTAGGGGATAAGCATTCGTGTGTGTGTGTGCTTATTGTGATAGCCTCAATATTATCACAAGGGAGGCCAGGGCCCAACTGGAATTAAATCTGGCAAGGACATTTAGGACAACAAGAAGGATGTCTGCAAATACATCAATAACAAAAGGAAAAGGAAGGATAATATGGGCCTGTTACTAAGTGAAGGAGGGACCCTGGTAACAGAGGATGTAGAGAAGGCAGAATTACTGAATGCTGCCTTTGCAATGGTCTTCACTGGCAACACCAGCCCTCAGGGATCTCTGACCCAGGAGATCAGGATAAAGGAATGTTGTAAGGGAGACTTTCGCTTGGTCAAGGAGAGAAAGGTGTTGGAGAACACCTAGACATCTGCAAGTCCCTGGACCCTGACGGGATGCATCCACAAGTGCTTAGAGACTTGGGGGCCACCATACCTGAGGCTGCTCATGATGGCCTTTGAAAAGTCATGAAGAGATGCCTGCAGATCAAAGAAAGCAAATGTTACCCCAGTGTTCAAAATGAAAAAAAGGGAGCCCAGGAAATTACGGGCCAATTAGCCACACCCCAATCCCTGGAAAGGTGAGGAAGTGCCTCATTCTGGAGACCACTTCTGTCCACAGGAGAAGGTGATCAGTATAGTCAGCATGGATTTACTAAAAGTAAATCATGCTTGACCAACCTGATTTACCTTTCACAATTAAACAACTGTGTGGATGGATGAAGGGAGAGCAGCAATATTGTCTACCTCAGCTTCAGTGAGGCTTTCGACACTGTCTCTCATAGGCAAGCTCAGGAAGAGTAGACTGAATGGGAGGACAGAGAGGTGGATTGAGAGCTGGCTGAACAGCAGATCCCAGAGTCATAATCAATGGCACAAGCTCTAGTTGGAGGCCTGTCCCTAGTGGTGTCTCCCAAGGTTCAATAGTGGGCCCAGTCTTGTTTAATTTACCCATCAATGACTTGGATGAAGGGCAGAGGCCTCCTCAGCAATTTCACTGACAACACAGAGCTGGGAGCAGTGGCCGATAGCCCAGAGGGCTGTGCAGCCCTTCAGAGGGACCTCAGCAGCCTGGAGAGATGGGCACAGAGGAACCGTCTGAAATTCAGCCAAGGCAAGTGCAGGGTCCTGCAGCTGGGGAGGAACAACCCCAGGCACCAGCACAGCCTGGGGGTGACCTGCTGGGAAGCAGCTCTGTGGAGAAGGAGCTGGGGGTCCCGGTGGACAACAAGCTCTCCATGAGGCAGCGGTGCCCTGGTGGCCAGGAAGGCCGGTGACATCCTGGGCTGCATCATGAAGAGCAGTGCCAGCAGGCTGAGGCAGGTGACCCTGCCCCTCTACTCAGCCCTGGAGAGGCCTCACCTGGAATGCTGTGTCCAGCTCTGGGCTCCTCAGTACAAGAAAGGCATGGAACTCTTCCAGCAGGTCCAGTGGAAGCCAACAAAGATGATTAAGGCACTGGGGCATCTCTCTAATCACACACAGGAACAGATTGCCCAGAGAAGACTCACCCTCACTGGAGATACGCAAGAATTATACAGAAACAAGCCTGTGCTGTGTGCTTTAGGATGATCCTGCTTGAACAGGGAGCTTGAAACAGATGACACACTGTAGTTCCTTCCAACCTTACCCATACTCTGATTCTGTGATTATAGGAATAGTTTTGTTCTGCTTTGTGATTATCTGTAGTAACTCCAGCAGTGATGATGGCAGATTGCCTGGTAAGTTCTGGTGGGGCAGCCCCACACAGACTATTTGTTGAAGAAATTAATGGACAGAATAGTATGAACAGAATATGATACCCACGTAATATAGTACAAAAATAAACTTACTAGTTTTGAAGGGCATTTAATATAACCTATTATTTAGTCTTATTTGTGCACAGTTAAAGGAATTGAGTGACAACAGTTAGTCTAATTGCCATTTGTATTAAGACTGTGAAAGGTTATTAACTGTCTGGGAGAGGGACTTTGGGTTTAAGTTACTACTCTCATGGTTTTGTCTAATACTGGTAGGAGAGTACATGTAGATCTTGTTATTTTAGGTGAGAGAGGACAACTCAGTGATTTGCAATTTTGACTGAGGGTTTCACACCTGCTTTGGCAGCAAGTTGCAAGCTCGTAGCAATGGTGTGCACCCTTGCTGGTGCTAAGATACAGCAGTGTGGCCATGGACTGGTGCTGCCAAGTCTTAACATCCTGTTTCTCTGGCTAAACGAAGAACTGTGGTCTCCAGCCTTGGCTTTTGTTACTAAGCACCTCTTACCATGAACTCAAGGGCAGCTGGCAAAACACTGTCCTGCTCCTGTCCAGCACAGTCTGTATGATGGTGATTGTGTGCAGTGATTACAGTGAGGTACTGCCGGTGGGTGGCTGCACTCCTGACTACATCATACTCCGATGTAAAAGCTGAGCTTCTGTGGAAGCAGTGAGGCTATGATTTCCTTAAGATGAGGTTAGCTGGCTCCAAAATGGGGCTTGCTTTTCTCCATTCTTTTTCCTTCTTTTTCCTTCATTTTTTTAAGGATTCACCTTTCTTCAACTTGATGTTAGACCTCGTCAGTGAGTGATTTCAACTCAGCTCCCCAGCAGAAAAGACAGCAAAAAAAGGTACATTCTGCCAATGTACTGAGCTGAATCTCCTAAAAAATCTGAGGTGCAGACCCCATCGGGGAGACAGAGGATGGTGTTCGTCTACCAGCATCACAGAGTCATTAGCCTGGCTGAGCTACTGTATCCCATTAGAAACATATCAAAAGGATAATGCAGATTCAGACCCTTCTGGATCATTTGTAGATGTATTAGATGCCTTCAGAATTGTCTACTGGCATTTCGGAGATTTGCTCAGTGCTACCA